GTGTTGGCAGCAGAACAAATCCAGGGGTCAAAAACATTTTCCCAGACTTCCATTTCTCATTTCTCCAAGCATTTTCAATTTTAAAACATTTCTTTTTCGGGGTGGTGCCTTTGTGTTGTAACTGGGAGCATCGGGCAGAGCCATCCCAGTTACCTGCTCTCTGCACCCCTCTGGAAGTGTCAGGTGTTTCCACTTTATTGGGAAGAACCAGATTAAACCAGGCACTCCCAGTGGGTTGTGTGTGACAGCCCTGTCACCCGTCCAGAGCCCTCAGCTGGAATTTGGGCTCAGTTTCTGGGGGGTGCAGCCCTGGGGGGGTCTCCCCTGCTCATTCTGTGGCTGCAGAGCAGTTTGCAGAGCTCTGCAATCCTTCCTCTTTCCCCAGAAAAGGTAAGGAAAAACGGTATTTCAAAAGGTGGGATTGGTGGGACTGGAAGCATGGGGTAGGACTAGAGGTGGCAGTAGGTTCTGGAGAAGAAGGAATAGGCCGGGACTGTAAAAAACAAACTGTCAAGTGACTTCTGGGATCTTGAACATTTGAATCCATTTATCGATTCCTTACCTGCGTGTGCCAGAACTCAGTTAGGGCTGGAATGGCTGAAAGGAGCTGAGGGACCTGGAGTTCAGCTGGGAATCCCTCAGGGCTCAGGGCTGAAGGCATCCACAGTGTTCTCCGTGTGGATGCCTCTCTGGTGGGTCACAGGGATGTTCATCCGCAGAGGATTCCTGGGCTGTGTGAGACAGGCGGGTGGGGAAGGAGCGCTCTTGGCTGGCGTGTCCTGCCCCAGGATCCCTGGCTGCCTGGGTGCCTGGCTGCCTGGCTGCCTGGCTGCCTGGCTGCCTGGCTGCCTGGCTGCCTGGGTGCCTGGCTGCCTGGCTGCCTGGCTGCCTGCACTCCGGGCTGCAGTGTTGTTGTCCCCAGGGGCCGGCTGGACGGCGGTGTTCGAGCCCGTGAGCTCCAAGCCCCCCGCGCCCTGCGTGGCCATGGACGTGGGGTCCAGCGTGTGGGACTCGGCCGCCCCGCAGAGCTCCGCGCCCGAGGAGAAGGGCTGGGCCAAGTTCACAGACTTCCAGCCCTTCTGCTGGTAAGAGCCACGGCATCCCAGCTTCCTTGGAGCTTTGGGGTGGAAGAGTAGTTGGAATGCATTTCGATGGAGTGCTTGGCTGTAAGCCTTTCTTCTTCCCTTCCCCTTCCCACTGCTTCCCTTTCTATTGTTTAATATTGTCTGATTGTCCTGGATTGTGCTTCCCACTGCTTCCCAGTGCTCCTGACTGGTGCTGGCATTCCTGTCTTACTGTACCTCCTGTGCCATTGCTGCTGCTGCTGCACCTGGGGAGTAAAATCAGTAAATTAATAAGCTTTATATGAGTTAAAAATATTGATGGGAGGAAAGGTCGAGGCCTGATGATTCCCTCTGCCGGGGCTGTGTGGAAGCAGTGGGATCTGTTCCCCTTCTCAAGGCTCTTCCCCCCTCAGCTCAGAGTCAGGCCCCCGCTGCAGCTCCCCCGTGGACACGGAAAGCGGCGACTCCGACGGGACCCCGAAGCAGGGCCAGGACAAGAACTGTGAGTGAGAGCATGGCTGGACACCCAGGGTGTCCCTGAGCTCTTGGGAATCCTGCACCGGGGGTAGGGAGAATGGCCCTGGAGTGTCACCCACCCCGAGGGCTCCTTTTGCACCAGGGTCAGGCTGTCAGGTAAACTCAGAAATCCTGGGGGTTTGTTGGGACAACATTGTCAGCAAGGAATGAAGTGAGTTGGAGTTGCCATCACAGAGACATTTCATTTATCCTGGAAGTGTCCAGGGCCAGGTTGGACGGGGCTTGGAGCAACCTGGGATAGTGGAAGCTGTCCCTGCCCATGGCAGGGGATGGGACAGGGTGGGCTTTAAGGTCCCTTCCCACCCAAACCATTCCATGATTCTGTAAACTGGTCAGAAGTCCTGTTTTAACTATGCTTGATTATAAAATCACTTGCCCAGAATTCCAGGGTCAGGGTAAGTCCCTCCGTTGATGGTTGTGCTGAGGCATTGGGAATCCATGTGACACCCTTCCCTCCTCCCTCCTGAACAAGGAAAACTCCATTTACAAAGGACTTGGGTGGAAGTAACTTAGACCTGTGTGTGTAGTGGCCATGGGAAGGTGGGTGACACTGGGAGGGGGGGAAGGCACGGGACTGTCTTCTGCCATGTGGGGTTTTGGGATGCTGTCCCTGTGGAGCTGGAGAGCCATTCAATAAAGCCCTGCCTGGCTTGCAGAATCCCAGGAAGGTTTGGGTGGGAAGGGACCTTAAAGCCCATCCAGTGCCACCCCTGCCATGGGCAGGGACACCTTGCTCCAAACCCCGTCCAACCTGCCCTTGGACACTCCCAGGGATCCAGGGGCAGCCACAGCTTCTCTGGGCAACCTGGGCCAGGGCCTGCCCATCCTCCCAGCCAGCAATTCCTTCCCAATCTCCCATCTCTCCCTGCCCTCTGGCACTGGGAAGCCATTCCCTGTGTCCTGTCCCTCCATGCCTTGTCCCCAGTCCCTCTCCAGCTCTCCTGGAGCCCCTTTATGCACTGGAACCCTGTTTCCTCTCCCAACCTGTCCCCATGGGATGTTCTCGTGGCTCAGCACACTTTGTGGG